GCTGGTAGCGAGTCTCTTTTTAGTGACTTGGTCACTTTTTTCAAGCCAGTCACTAAAAAGTCTCTTTTTTAAGGCCAAGTAACTAAAGTCACTTTTTCTTGTAAAAAGTCACTATTTCCAACTTTTTTAAACGTAAATTTATTTTAAGATTGATCATTCTTCTGGATAGGCCTTATGTTGACGACATGGTATAGAGCTTTTTGTACGTTTAATCGTTCTTCTCTATCTACAGGGTGTCCACTCATTTGGCTAAATAAAGTTCCCTGAGTTTTCCAGGTTTTTTCATAACTTTGGCGGATAATGTCCAGGTTTATAATAAGAATGCTATTTATGAAAGGCGTTAAAAATATGTTTTTAACGCAAACGTTTTTAAGACATGACAATCCGTTTTAAAGAAACAGCTTGAGCTCAAATCCATTAAATGTTGAAGTTGAACACTTACTTCATTTTAGTAAGTCTAAGATCACAACATTTTTAATGTCTTGACGTTTCGTACTATCAAAAATGTGGAAACTTTGATCTCAGAAAAGTTAGATCTAGAGATCTTTGGGACTTCCAGAGGTCTTAAGAGGAAGTCCCCGAAACTTTAGCCCAGACTATTGAATTGGAAAGGAAAATTGTAGAACTTAAAGGCAAATAAATCAATTCCAGAAAAATGGTGGGTTCTTTAAAAAAATACTAAAGCAAGGTAGTCTAGAGAGAATTTTAAGGAAATTGAGAAATACTTTTTGGCAGTTTTAAAAACATCAGGAAGCTCTAGTCTATTGAAAAAATTATGAATTAATATCGATGATTTAAACTTCAGACAAATCTTGAGAACTATATTAACTGCGGAGCGGAAGCCTAAAGAATTTCCTGAAATTTCAGAATAACTTCGAAAATTTCACAGAAGTGCAGAGATCTTCAGAATCATTTCGAGAACTTCATAAAAGTCTATGGAACTTAAGGGAAGACCCGAAAACTTCAGGAACTTTTATGGACATTTCGTAAGTTTAGTAAAGCACCAAAAACAAAGGGAATTTCAAGGGAGTTCAGTTCAATTAGTTTCACTAAATAAGCGGAAAATTTCGTGAAGTTCCCAGATTTTCAGAGAACTTTATAAATGTTAGGAAAATTATTGACGTTTTCAGATATGTCCAAAAGTTCACGCAAGCTTAAACATATTTAGAACAGTTCAATAAAATTCATGGTACTACAACAAGCTTCATGAGAACTGCAAACACTTTAGAGAAGTTTCGAGAACTCCGAGAAAGATATTGATCTCGCTTATAAAGCTCTAAAAAAACTACAAGAAAGAACGGATATCCAGAGCAGAGATATTCCAGAGCAGGGAAATTATATAAATTAAAAAAAAGGTTACGAGGAATTTAGTGACTTGTTAACACTTTAGAGAAGATTCATGATCGTTAGGAAAATAGTGAAAACTTTAGGAAGTCCGAAAAAGTTTAGAGAAGTTAAAAGAAATGATGCGAAGTATTTCGAGCATCAGGTTATGTTTCTCATTTAATAAAATTCTGGAATATTTTGGGAACTTTCAAGTAGTTATGAAGACCTCAGATTAGTCCATTCCATATTCAACGGAGATTTCTCATGACAATTCGCATGGAGTTTACTATCTTAAGCTTAGGCTTCACATGAAGTCTAAAATTCCTCAGAAGTACCATGAAAGCAGATTGCAGTTGATGTTTTTCTCGTAGATTTTAGTCCCAGAACTCCCGTGGAATGAGGTCCTTAGAAATTATAATAAAATTCCATGAGCCTTAAAATTGTGCAAGGAATTTGACTCCAGATTCATGAAAATTTCTTGAAGTATTATATAACTTTTCAGTTCAGAATTTATAAATTTATGTATTTGCTACTGAAGATCAATTCATTCTGGATCTATAAAGTTTAATGTGAATGAAAATAACTAGGAATATTAAATGTTTTTATATTAAAATACATTCTTAGTAAGAAAATTATTTAATTTCTTGAAATGATAAGATTCCCTGATACTTCCAGGTATTTTCAGGAAAAATAAAATTCCCTGCGAAATCCCGGTTTTTTATGTTTTTCCAGGTAGTAGAAGTTTGGAGGTTTGGTCATAAACTTTCTATTAAATCTTTCGATTTAAAGGTTCCTATCGTACATATTTAAGTGTTTATGAGAATCTAATTGAATAAGTCTAAAACATCAAACATTTATTTGGTATGCCATATAAACGACTAATTTTCTTCGCTTAGGTCACTTTTTTACAAGTCACTTTTTTACAACTATAAGTCACTATTTGGTCACTTATTTCTTCAACATGGTCACTAAAATCACTATTTTTGACAACATTGATCGCTACCAGCCCTGATGTACTCATGTATTTAACAGTATTTCCCACTTTTTCTTAAACTGGAAGCCACCATCTTGAATAAAAAACTGGCGTCGCGTATCTTTTTCTATCTCTAGCCACCCGATTGCAAAAATACCTATATTGATGGGTAATTTTCAGTATTCAGTATTTTGACACTGAAGAAGTCTGCATATTGTAGACGAAATACGCGTATCTGTCAAGAATATGCAAGTAAGGTAGTGGAATTAAATAGAAATTAATATTTTCCGCTTTTTATTAAATCGGAAGCTGACATCTTAGATTTCAAAATGGCATATCGATTTTCATTCTCTAGACGTCATATCGATTCCAAAAATACCCATATGGATGGGTCGGCTTCAGTGTTTCCCACTTTTATTTAACAATCAACGATTTCCGGCCTCTAGACGTCAATATGCTTCCAAAATTACCTTTATTGAAGGGCATTTGACACCGACAAGACGACATGAAACTTAAACTTAACTCTTGATCGACAATCCATAACGGTCGATTCAAATGTGCAGCGATCCCATCTGTCAAAACCATAGAAATGTTTTATCTAGATAAAAATAATTTGTCCGAAATAGATTAGACACGAACCAACTCATAAATGTTGTACGCGTGTTCGTGGCTAGGATAAATATTTTCCGCGAACACAGTGGCAGATGTCAGTTTGTGCTTTGATCAGAAATTTATTTGTAATTTGTATAATCATTAATGTCAGTTTGTCGGTGAAATTTCTGCATTTTATTTTTAAAAAAATCAACGATTTCCGGCTTCCAGACGTCAATCTGCTTCCAAAAATACTTATATTGATAGGCATTTGACAGTATTTCCCACTTTTTCTGAAATCGGAAGCCGCCATCTTGGAAAATGTCGATCTAGAGGTCACTCCGATTAAAAAAATACCCATATTGATGGGTATTTGACAGTATTTCCCACTTTTTTTAAATCAGAATCCGCCATTTTGTATGGCGTCTGATATTGATTTTATTCTCTAGACGTTATCCCGTTTCCAAAAATTCCCATAATATTCGGCTGAATATCAAGCGTTGAGCTAACAAAATTTCACTCAATCCTTTTTTTCGTCCACTCATTTGTAAGAAAATGGTCGAATATTAGTTAAACTTCGCATGTAAACAGCGAATACCAGACCAAATAGCACTATTCGGTACAGCTCTAGTATTTGACAGTATTTTCCACATTTTTTTTTTTTTTGAACCCGAAGCCGCCATCTAAGACTTCAAATTGGCATCGGATATCGATTTCTGGCTTTAGACGTCATTAAAAAATACACATATTGATGGGTAAACAAACCACTCGTCAATGATAAATTTAACATCCTCGTGCACATGCGCTTAAATAAGTGAACAATCAACAAAAGTCAGAAAATCTGCGCGAATGTGGATCGAAAAGTTTCGCTTCAATACGAAAGTAAGTTCATTTGACAATGAAATACGAGATGAACGCGAGTCAAGTCAAAACAAACAGCATGAAAACTGATCGAAAATGGTTCTGTTTATGTCGAAGGGGATCTGCTCGAAGAGATGACGGAATGACCTTCAATTGAAAGTGATGGTTGACAGCTTCGTCGTCGCTTGACGATTTTCGATTGAAAGTGACTTTGTTGGGTCCTGCCTCTATGGTTATACCACTGAGGCAAAAAAGAGGTCAGCTTTGAGTCAGCTTTTTGCATGAAGTTCCACATATGTTATGTGCTAAAAGTAAATTGTTACGCCGCTAGCACACCTCTAGTGTTGGGATTCAAAAATCGTTGACAGTGGTTTGTTTACGCTTCTATAGAGAACAACTGGTGCAATTTTGATGAAAGTTTGTCGACAACAGTTTGTCGAGTGCTCAAAACCTACAAGCAAACCCTGAGTGTGGAAAGGAATCAACGGACCTACTAAAAAACAGCTGCGCAGCAAGGTGTTGAGGTGCGTTAAAGCCAACCTCGATCTTTCGATCCGAGATGTGGCGAGAAGGTACAACGCCAACTTTCAAACGGTGCAGAACATCCTTGCCAGGGAAGTATTCAAGTTCGTGTTTGCCAACAAGTTCGCGAAGAAGGCCATGATTTGGTTAGCGATTTGCAGTTGTCGCCTGAACACGGAACCATTCGTCACATCCTCGACGATGACATCCCAAGTTTACATTGAAGAATGCCTGAAAAAGCGTGTATTGCCGTTCATCCGCAAGCATAGGGGCAAAGTCTTTTGGCCCGATTTGGCCAACTGCCACTACTCCAAGGTGGTTCGGGAAAGATATGAATTGCCCGGAATTTTGACCAATCGAAAAAATACTGGGTAATTTCAAAGCAGCGACTTCGACGAAGCGGCGGGGCAGTCAAGGACATCCATCAAATGCGGGCAAAATGGAAGAAATGCGTTGATTCCGTGTCCGTTTCCACTGTGCGGGCGCTGATGGGCTCCATCAAGACGAAGGTTCGAGATTTCGTTCGAACTGGAGAAATGTAACCATCTAATGCTCTAACTGTAATGGACTTTTTAAACTTATTGAATCACGAATAACAGGTCTTTTTGTGCGTACCAATTTACTTTCAGTCAGCCTTTAGTTCCATATTTGCTCGATTACCTATCCATATGGGACTGTTATGCACAGTTTTAATTTGTTTTTTATTTCATCAACTCTTCGTTTACAGAGCCGTCGCCCTCGGTCCGGACCAGCTCCTGCTGCGAGGTGCCATGCTTCGCAACACCTCCTGGGTATTCGGAATCGTCATCTACACCGGACACGATACGAAACTTATGCGAAACTCTACCTCAGCGCCGCTTAAGGTATGCCCGCCCAGAAAGAGGAAATCATTAGCTGAACCCACCAATCGATGCTAACGCTATATATTTTTTTGTTTTCTTTCTCGTTTCAGCGCTCAACTGTTGACAGACTGACAAATACGCAAATTTTAATGTTATTTTTCATTCTAATTTTCCTTTGCATCGTAAGTTGCATATTCAATCAAATCTGGACAAAGGAGCACTACAAAACCGATTGGTACTTAGGCATAAGTGGTGGGTTGGTCGAACTACTAGGGATTTGTTCTCGATTCTGATAGTCCTCTTTCCAATTCCAGATTTATTAAGTAAAAACTTTGCCTACAATCTGCTTACGTTTATAATTTTGTATAATAATTTAATTCCGATATCACTTCAAGTTACGTTAGAGCTAGTTAGGTTTCTACAGGTAAGAAAAGATCACCCCAGATTCCGAATTTCAAGCGTCTAATCGTACAATTTGACAGGCAATCTTCATCAACATGGACATTGACATGTACCACGAGGAATCGGACACCCCGGCGATGGCCCGAACTTCGAACCTGAACGAAGAGCTCGGTATGGTCAAGTACATCTTCTCGGACAAAACCGGCACCCTGACGCGGAACGTGATGGAGTTCAAAAAGTGCTCGATTGCGCGAACGATCTACTCGCCGGAGGAGAATCCCGCCCAGTCGCAGCTGGTTCAGGTAGGTGTGGGATAGACTGTCAGCCAGTGAATGTGATGATGAGCGATAATTGACCAAAGGGAAAAAGGGGTCGATCGATTCGGTAAACACAGAGAGTAAAACTTACATCGATATAGGTACCCACAGAAGTACGACGCGGTTCCGATTGAAGATTACCGATGCATGAGCTAATAAATAATTAATATTTCAATCCCAAACCTATCACGGCACGAACGGGTTAAAGCTTCGCGCACCACCACGTTCGGCGTATGTGTTATAAATAATATCGAAAAACGGTTTGATTGAATGCAGCAGCGCAGTCAGCACGGCACGGTTTTGCGAGCAGATCGTTGCGGTATGGAGGAGAGGACGGATGGATGTAGAATACAATAATCGAAAGAAAAAAAAAAACAGTTTGCTGGTTAAATTTTAGGAAGTAAATACAAAACTGATCGATTCAGCGATGGTTTCTATCAAAAGAAATGAAGAACACAAGATTTGGCATCCGTTAGCAGTCTGATCGATTTTGCACATGTGTTAGCACATGGTGGAATTTGATTTCGCTCTCCAATCCCATCCACAATTCTGAAACTAAATCATTCTAGAGAAGCGCAAAAAGACTTCCTATTATAAGTCCACTGGAATACGATAGCATGTATAGAGATATCCCGGTCCTATAAGTTATTTGTATTGAGGCTAAGCTGGTTTCTGAATTACTTGCACATTGTAGATCCCTAAAAAAATTTCAAACATGGTCTATGGCTCCCCAAACACTTCGTTCAAAGTCAAAAAACTTGTGAAGAGTGTACCATCGGCGTACACATCAGAAGAATATTGTAGCCATGGTAGGCCATGATTTGTAGCCATGGTACGAAAGTAACAAACTGAAAATATTTTGGAGTGTAGTTCCAACCACCGAAGAGACAAGTCGAAATATAATGAGCTCTTAAACCTAGAACTAGTTTCCTTCTCTTCGAGAACACAAAATGTATTGTCGACGAGGTAAAGTTCTTGCGATTTTCCGGAAGTAACATCAAGCTCTGTTCCTGTTTTACCGTTGAAGCCCTCAAATCACTACGAAATCAAGAATGTCCGACAACGATCTGAAGCAAGCAATTCTCCAGCTGACGGAACTGATCGTCAACCAGCAGCAGCAGATTGGAGCCCTTCAACAGGTCAACGCCAATCAAGTTGGAAGCGAGAAGATCATCCGGAATTGACGAGTTTCGGTATGATCCAGACGGAGGACTATTTTTCGAATCGTGGTACGCTCGATACGAGGACGTATTCAAGGAGGACGGGAAGCACCTGGACGATATAGCTAATGTAATTCTGCTTCTGAGGAAAATCGGCACGCTACGTGAACAGCGTTTTGCCGAATCATCCACGGGATTTTGTGTTCGAAGAAACCGTCAAGAAGCTTAAGAAGCTCTTCGGACGCCAAAAGATCCTCTTCAAAGGACGTTATCAGTGTTTGCAGTACATCAAAAACGACGCTGATGATTTTTCGTCGTATGCAGCGTCAGTGAATAAGCACTGTGAAGCGTTCCAGATCGAGAAGCTCTCCAGCGACCAATTCAAGACGCTCAGGTTCGTATGCAGTCTCCAGTCACCGCGCAATTCGAACATCCGGACCAGGCTGATTGGAAAGCTTGAAGCAGAAGAAACCGCACCGCCGGCTGATGGTGCAACCCTGAAGCTTGAAAACCTGGTTGAGGAGTGCAACCGCATTATCAACCTCAAGCAGGATACGAAGATGATCGAGAAAGGTTGCTCAGATAGATCTATCGTTAATGCAATATCTCAACATTCAACAAGTAGGAAGGAGAAATTACTAAAAACGCCTTGCTGGTTCTGTGGGGATTTACACTATGTGAAGGAGTGTCCCTACCAGTCTCATACCTGTGTGAACTGCAAGCGGAAGAGTCACAAGGAAGGTTACTGCTCATCATCCGAAAAGAAGCCAGCAAAGAAGGTCGATAAACCGAAACCTAAAGACTTCGTCAAGTCTAAGGGTATCTCGGTCAAGCGAATCACCCTAACGAAGAACCGGAAGTATGCCAAGATCGAAATCAACGGCTCAACAGCGACATTGCAGCTCGATTGTGCTTCCGACATCACCATTATTTCCAAGCAGGCTTGGATTGCCGTGGGTAAGCCTGTCATCAAATTTACGGAAGTCATCGCCGTGAAGGCATCAGGTGACAGTATCGACATCCTGGGTGAGTTCAACGCCGAAATCACCGCTCAAGACGGTGGAAGGCCGCATTTTCGTCACAACAAACCCGGATCTCAACGTTCTCGGTATCGAAATAATGGATCAGTTCGATCTCTGGTCGGTCCCATTCAACTCGCTAGTGAACATCATACAACACAACTCAAACGCAACCATGCAATCCTTGCAACTCAAGTTTCCTGAAGTGTTCCAGACCTCGCTCGGGTGCTGCACAAAAGCACAGGTAACGCTCTACCGGAAGCCAGAATCTCGTCCTGCGTTTTGCCCTAAGAGACCGGTTGCCTACGCTGCACTTCCGAAGGTTGAAGCTGAGCTCCAAAGGCTTCAAGACAACGGCATCATTTCACCAGTCAAATTCTCCGATTGAGCTGCTCCCTTAGTTGTGGTTCGCAAGTCCGATGTCTCCGTACGCATTTGTGGTGACTGCTCTACAGGTCTCAACGATGCCCTCGAGTCAGATCGCTATCCACTGCCTCATCCAGACGACATCTACGCCGAACTAGCCGGATGCCGTTTCTTCTCCAACATCGATTTATCGGATGCCTGCCTGCAGGTTGAGGTTGAAGAAGTATCTCGAAAGCTGCTCACTATAATCACTCATAAAGGACTGTTCCAGAACAATCGATTGCCACCAGGAGTCAAATCTCCGCCTGAAGCGTTCCAGAGGATCATTGACAGTATGGTTGCTGGCATTCCAAGTGTCAAACCATACCTGGACGACATCTTGTTCGCTGGAAAAACTCAACAGCATCATGATCGTAGCCTTCCCGTTTACACCACCAATCGTCTGCAGCGTTGGGCGCTAACGATGCTGCTGTATGATTTCGACATCCAGTTCATCCCAACGGCTAGTTTTGGACATGCCGACGTGTTGTCCCGCAAACCAGACGAGGAATACGTGATTGCTGCTCTCCAAACGGAATCTGACGTGAAGGCAATTCTCGCAGACTCAATATCCAGCTTGCCGGTCACATCCGATATGATCTCCAAGGAAACGCAAGACGACTCGGTCCTACAAGAGGTAATCAACTACATCCACAATGGCTGGCCAAACACTGTAAGCGAGCTACCAGATACAGCTGTTCGTCAGTTCTATTCCCGACCAGAGAGCCTCAAGGTCACCCAAGACTGCGTCATGTTCGCTGACAGAGTTGTAGTTCCAGAAAGATTCCGCAAGCGCATCATCCGACAACTCCACCGTGGACACCCTGGAATAGACCGAATGAAGTCACTCGAAAGAAGTTTCGACGACGATGTTGAAACGTTTGTACGCCAGTGTCGCCCTGTGCTGTTCCAGCAAAATCGCCCCGTAAGACTACCCTTGAATCATGGCCGATACCAACGAAACCGTGGGAGAGGATCGACATCGACTACGCAGGTCCAGTTGATGGTTATCACTACCTCGTCATTAGCCGGCGCCGGTGGTGTAGTGGTAAGCGTGACTGCTTTCTCACCCCACTGGGTATGGGTCCAATCCCAGCCGAGGTCGGTGGGATTTTTCTGAGGCTTAAAAATCTCTGGTCACGTCTTCCTTGGTCCCGGCCTATGTGTGTTTAATGTGTGCAATATCATACGCAGGTGTGGAAGCTGTCTTCCTGCACATTCGATTGCCGTCAATGGATGGCAATCGATGTTCGTCGGTGATTGGCACTAGATTGCGGAACAGAGTTAAACGTTAAATAAAGAAAAGAAGAAGACTACCTCGTCGTGCTCGACGCCTATTCGAAGTGGCCGGAAATCTTCAGGTCCCGCAGTACAACTACTTTACGACAGCCCCTTACCACCCACATCGAATGGGCAAGCTGAACGCTTTGTCGACACCCTTAAAAGAGGACTGAAGAAACTCACCGAAGGGGAAACCATGGTAACATTCCAGCATCTCCAGACGTTCCTCTCAGTTTTCCGGTCAATTCCAAATAGAAGCGCTCCGGATGGTAAGACACCTGCCCATCTATTTTTAGGAAGACCAATACGAACAACGCTTTACCTATTGAAGCCCTGTGTTCAGAGTCCAACCTTGGAGAACAAGAAGCAGAACGCTGATTTCAACAGATGGCATAGCGCAGTGAAGAAATCATTCTATCCGGATGATTTGGTCTACGCTCAGGTCCATCGTCGCAACACAATCGATTGGATTCCAGGACAGGTAATCGAGCGCAAGGGCAAAGTGAACTACACTGTTTTGCTCGAACATTCGATCACACACCAACCAGCTAAACCAACGATATTCGGATGAAAATGATGCCGATCAATCTCCAAATCCACGCAATCAAGTTTCCTTGGCCTTGCTAGTTGACGAGTTCCACCTACAAGCTCCGAAACCGTTGGTCCCAGCAGTGCTGATAGAAGAACCAATTCCAGATGATGAACTGATTCCTGATGATGACGAGCCTGATGATGTAATGACGGATGACGAATCTGTTGTTCCTGCTAACAGTGTGAATATTCAAGAACCAGTTCAACAGCGTGAAGAAAGAACCCGTAGACTTCCAGCTTGGCTGGCACCCTACGATCTCTTTCGAAAAAAAGGGAGATGTATCATCGGCGTACACATTAGAAGAATATGTTTACTGGTAGGCCATGATTTGTAGCCATGGTACGAAAGTAACAAACTGAAAATATTTTGAAGTGTAGTTCCAACCACCGAAGAGTCAAGTCGAAATATAATTAGCTCTTAAACCTTAAACTAGTTTCCTTCTCTTCGAGAACACAACAAAGAGGATGGTTTTAGCAACACAAAAAATAGTAATATGCAGGATTTCTGGAATAAAAGGACCAATAAGCCAAAATCTAATTTTCAAAAGTATTCATTCTTAGTAACATATTTCAACCTAAAATTAATCTCATGCCCTTTAAACCACAGAAACGAGCTCCAATCATAGCGAATAAACAATTGATGAATTGGTTCCGATTGCAAATATTCTTAGAATATGAACTGTTGGCAATCAAATCCAATTCATGCGGAAACCCCCGGCGAATCGAAGCGAAACTCAAGGCCTTGCTACATGTCCTTTCTCCAATATCAGATTGCTGCGTAGCGAAAGGCAAACACACGCCAATAATGGCATCCTCTCCGGACATAGCTCATATGCGCAAGGCCCCTGCAGCTCCCAGGCTTCACTCCGACCGACGACCCCCCCCCTCCCCCTTCCTAAATAATCGAAGCTCGCTATACCAAAACAAACACCGCTGGAAGAAGCCGGGGCAAATAAGTATTATCTGATGCGAGAGAGCATAGGTCAAGCCACGAGCTGCTGATGACGACAGTAAATTTATTAGCTATTTATGGAGTTTTATGTTTTTGTATCACAGTCGGCCAAACAGCGTGAAAATTAAAAATCGATAACTTTCCTTTTATGGTACCCTCCGCGGCTTATTACTCACCCGGGTTGATTTATCGCACCTCCAATAAATAACAGAAATAGATAATTACAATTAATATTATATCATCCTTTACTCTTCTCGCTTTTCAGCACATAATGAACAACCACCACACGGCCGCCATACTGCGCGAGTTCCTGACGCTGATGGCCATCTGCCACACGGTGATACCGGAGAAGAGCGATAACGATAACATCCAGTACCATGCGGCCAGCCCGGACGAGCGCGCCCTGGTGTACGGTGCGAAACGGTTCGGGTACGTGTTCCACACGCGAACGCCGTCCTTCGTCGAGATTGATGCTCTCGGTGTTCAGGAGCAGTTTGAGATCCTGAACGTGCTGGAATTTACCTCCACTCGCAAGCGGATGTCGGTCATTGCCAAGAATTCCAAGGGGGAGATCAAGCTGTACTGCAAAGGAGCGGATACGGTGATCTACGAGCGGCTGTCCTCGAACGGGCAAGCCTACCGGGAAGCTACGCTTCAGCACCTGGAGGAATTTGCGACCGAAGGTCTCCGGACGCTGTGTTGCGCGGTGTCCAACATTCCCGACGACGTGTACGACGACTGGAAGCACACGTACCATAAAGCATCGACCTCGCTGCAGTACCGGGAACAGAAGGTGGAGGATGCGGCCAATCTGATCGAGACGAATCTGATGCTGCTCGGTGCCACTGCCATCGAGGATAAACTGCAGGACGGTGTACCTGAAACGATTGCCTCGCTGATCGAGGCCAAGATAAACGTGTGGGTGCTGACGGGTGATAAGCAGGAAACTGCAATCAACATAGGCTATTCGTGCAAGCTGCTATCGCACGGCATGGACTTAATTATTTTAAACGAGGAGAGTTTAGATGTAAGTATGGGGTGGTTTGGTGGGGGGATCGGGACACAATTATCTCCTTCACATTCGTTTCTTATTTTACAATGTTTTCCAAATGTATTCAAAAAGAATTTTCTAAATTGCCTCTAGAAGGTCCCGGTACTTTCTTCTGAACTATCTTCAAGTTCCTTTATGAGTCTATGTATTCTCATTTATAGTTAAGGCACTTTTACGTACTATGGGGCCCTCCTGAGGAAGTTCAGAGAACTTCTGAAGCAAGCTAGAACAATCTTACACATCAAAGACCTCTTAGAAGAAGTCAGTCCACTTCCTTTGGAGCATTCCTAAATTGCATCAGAGTATTCAGGGACATGCAAGATGATCTTTAGAGCCCCCGAAGGTAAGCAGAGAGACCCTCTGGAGTGATTCAGGAATCTTCCAGAAAATGTACAAGGACCTTCCAGAGGAAGATCTGGGACCTTCCAGAGGAAGATCTGGGACCTTCCAGGGGAAGATCTAAGACCTTCCAGAGGAAGATCTGGGACCTTCCAGAGGAAGATCTGGGACCTTCCATGGGGAAGATCTGGGACCTTCCATGGGAAAGATCTGGTACCTTCCAGAGGAAGATCTGGGACCTTCCAGAGGAAGATCTGGGACCTTCCAGAGGAAGATCTGGGACCTTCCAGAGGAAAATCTGGGACCTTCCAGAGGAAGATCTGGGACCTTCCAGAGGAAGATCTGGGACCTTCCAGAGGAAGATCTGGGACCTTCCAGAGGAAGATCTGGGACCTTCCAGAGGAAGATCTGGGACCTTCCAGAGGAAGATCTGGGACCTTCCAGAGGAAGATCTGGGACCTTCCAGAGGAAGATCTGGGACCTTCCAGAGGAAGATCTGGGACCTTCCAGAGGAAGATCTGGGACCTTCCAGAGGAAGATCTGGGACCTTCCAGAGGAAGATCTGGGACCTTCCAGAGGAAGATCTGGGACCTTCCAGAGGAAGATCTGGGACCTTCCAGAGGAAGATCTGGGACCTTCCAGAGGAAGATCTGGGACCTTCCAGAGGAAAATCTGGGACCTTCCAGAGGAAGATCTGGGACCTTCCAGAGGAAGATCTGGGACCTTCCAGAGGAAGATCTGGGACCTTCCAGAGGAAGATCTGGGACCTTCCAGAGGAAGATCTGGGACCTTCCAGAGGAAGATCTGGGACCTTCCAGAGGAAGATCTGGGACCTTCCAGAGGAAGATCTGGGACCTTCCAGAGGAAGATCTGGGACCTTCCAGAGGAAGATCTGGGACCTTCCAGAGGAAGATCTGGGACCTTCCAGAGGAAGATCTGGGATCTTCCAGAGGAAGATCTGGGACCTTCCAGAGGAAGATCTGGGACTTTCCAGAGGAAGATCTGGGACCTTCCAGAGGAAGATCTGGGACCTTCCAGAGGAAGATCTGGGACCTTCCAGAGGAAGATCTGGGACCTTCCAGAGGAAGATCTGGGACCTTCCAGAGGAAGATCTGGGACCTTCCAGAGGAAGATCTGGGACCTTCCAGAGGAAGATCTGGGACCTTCCAGAGGAAGATCTGGGACCTTCCAGAGGAAGATCTGGGACCTTCCAGAGGAAGATCTGGGACCTTCCAGAGGAAGATCTGGGACCTTCCAGAGGAAGATCTGGGACCTTCCAGAGGAAGATCTGGGACCTTCCAGAGGAAGATCTGGGACCTTCCAGGGGAAGATCTCCGAACTTCCAGGGGAAGATCTCCGAACTTCCAGGGGAAGATCTCCGAACTTCCAGGGGAAGATCTCCGAACTTCCAGGGGAAGATCTCCGAACTTCCAGGGGAAGATCTGGGACCTTCCAGAGGAAGATCTCCGACCTTCCATGGGGAAGATCTCCGACCTTCCAGGGAAAGATCTCCGAACTTCCAGGGGAAGATCTGGGACCTTCCAGAGGAAGATCTCCGACCTTCCATGGGGAAGATCTCCGACCTTCCAGGGAAAGATCTCTGACCTTCCATAGGGAAGATCTGGGACCTTCCAGAGGAAGATCTAGGACCTTCCAGAGGAAGATCTGGGATCTTCCAGAGGAAGATCTGGGACCTTCCAGAGGAAGATCTGGGACCTTCCAGAGGAAGATCTGGGACCTTCCAGAGGAAGATCTGGGACCTTCCAGAGGAAGATCTGGGACCTTCCAGAGGAAGATCTGGGACCTTCCAGAGGAAGATCTGGGACCTTCCAGAGGAACATCTGTGACTTTCCAGAGGAAGATGTAGGACCTTCCAGAAGAATATCTGCGATCTTCCAGGGGAACATCTGGGACCTTCCAGAGGATTATCCACTGAACTCTTTGTTTTTTTACCTTCCATGGGGAAGATCTCCGACCTTCCAGGGAAAGATCTCCGAACTTCCAGGGGAAGATCTGGGACCTTCCAGAGGAAGATCTCCGACCTTCCATGGGGAAGATCTCCGACCTTCCAGGGAAAGATCTCTGACCTTCCATAGGGAAGATCTGGGACCTTCCAGAGGAAGATCTAGGACCTTCCAGGGGAAGATCTCCGAACTTCCAGGGGAAGATCTCCGAACTTCCAGGGGAAGATCTGGGACCTTCCAGAGGAAGATCTCCGACCTTCCATGGGGAAGATCTCCGACCTTCCAGGGAAAGATCTCCGAACTTCCAGGGGAAGATCTGGGACCTTCCAGAGGAAGATCTCCGACCTTCCATGGGGAAGATCTCCGACCTTCCAGGGAAAGATCTCTGACCTTCCATAGGGAAGATCTGGGACCTTCCAGAGGAAGATCTAGGACCTTCCAGAGGAAGATCTGGGATCTTCCAGAGGAAGATCTGGGACCTTCCAGAGGAAGATCTGGGACCTTCCAGAGGAAGATCTGGGACCTTCCAGAGGAAGATCTGGGACCTTCCAGAGGAAGATCTGGGACCTTCCAGAGGAAGATCTGGGACCTTCCAGAGGAAGATCTGGGACCTTCCAGAGGAAGATCTGGGACCTTCCAGAGGAAGATCTGGGACCTTCCAGAGGAAGATCTGGGACCTTCCAGAGGAAGATCTGGGACCTTCCAGAGGAAGATCTGGGACCTTCCAGAGGAAGATCTGGGACCTTCCAGGGGAAGATCTCCGAACTTCCAGGGGAAGATCTCCGAACTTCCAGGGGAAGATCTCCGAACTTCCAGGGGAAGATCTCCGAACTTCCAGGGGAAGATCTCCGAACTTCCAGGGGAAGATCTGGGACCTTCCAGAGGAAGATCTCCGACCTTCCATGGGGAAGATCTCCGACCTTCCAGGGAAAGATCTCCGAACTTCCAGGGGAAGATCTGGGACCTTCCAGAGGAAGATCTCCGACCTTCCATGGGGAAGATCTCCGACCTTCCAGGGAAAGATCTCTGACCTTCCATAGGGAAGATCTGGGACCTTCCAGAGGAAGATCTAGGACCTTCCAGAGGAAGATCTGGGATCTTCCAGAGGAAGATCTGGGACCTTCCAGAGGAAGATCTGGGACCTTCCAGAGGAAGATCTGGGACCTTCCAGAGGAAGATCTGGGACCTTCCAGAGGAAGATCTGGGACCTTCCAGAGGAAGATCTGGGACCTTCCAGAGGAAGATCTGGGACCTTCCATGGGGAAGATCTGTGACCTTCCAGAGGAACATCTGTGACTTTCCAGAGGAAGATGTAGGACCTTCCAGAAGAATATCTGCGATCTTCCAGGGGAACATCTGGGACCTTCCAGAGGATTATCCACTGAACTCTTTGTTTTTTTAAAGGTTCTAAACATCCTCTCGATGATCGTTATACTTTATATGACCGGTCTATGAATAAGGGAACAGGTCTATGAATAAGGGAACAGTGTTCGAAAATTCGCTTTAGAGCCTTCCCTATCTCATATTTCCGAAGACATCATTTTAAAAAGACTGGCAACGCTTCCAGAATTCATGGGATAAATTATTTCCAGTGATAGATGGCAGGATTGTGTTTGTCTTTTGGCGTTCATATAAGATAGCAGAAGAGTTGCCAGTCTTCCTAATATGTTGTCTTCGATATTTCTTGAAGTTTCCCTAGCATTCCTCCAAACTGTGTTCAGAAAGATCATATATTATCTCTGGGAGGTTAGTAATCATCCTTTGAATATTCTCAGAACGTTCTTGGAGGTTTCCATCATTTTGTTTTTGAGAACTTCGTAGACGATCGGAGAACTTCTTGAAAGTAAATGGGACGTTGTAGAATTTTTGAGGAACTTCACAGATCTTCAAGAAACATCGTAGAACTTTGGAAACTTCGTAGACGTTCAATGAACTGTGTAGAAGGTCAAACAACTTTTTAAATAGGAGAGCAACATATTTTATAGAAATTCAGCAAACTTTGTAAAAACTCAGCAAATTTTGTAGAAGCTCAGTGAACTTCAGAGAATGTTGTAGAACTTCAGCAAGTTTTGTTTAAGTCCAGAGAACTGTGTAGAACTTCTTCAAACATTGTTGAAATTAAGCGAACTTTAGAGAAATTTAGCGAAATTCGGTAAATTTCGTTGACGTTCAGGTTTTTTTTTTTTGTTTTGTTTAACTACATTAGATTTTAAAAAATTCACGTACTTTTTAGATATTCAGAGGCCATCAACAAAATTTAACATAAATTCACGGCTTCACAGAATTTTAAGACTTCTCCACTTCATCAGGAAATTCCATAGATCATCAACAACTTCGTAGACATTTTATAGAAATTCAGCAAACTTTGTAAAAGCTCAGCAAACTTTGTAGAAGCTCAGTGAACTTCAGAGAATTTTGTAGAACTTCAGCAAGTGTTGTAGAAGTCCAGAGAACTTTGTATAACTTCTTCAAACATTGTTGAAAATAAGCGAACTTTAGAGAAATTTCGTTGATGTTCATTAGATTTTTAAAAAATCAGGAACTTTTTAGATATTCAGAGGGCATCAATGAAATTTAACATAAATTTAGGGCTTCACAGAATTATGATGAAATGTAGGGTGCTTTGTAAAAATTCGGGAAAACTATTTAGAACTGGGAGCCTCATTCAAGTTAGTGAAGCTTCGTTGGAGTTATGGGAAATTCGGTTTATTTTAAAAAAACATTATAAAAGTTCATATTTTAACGTCAGGGCACTTCTTAAAACTTAAAATAACTTCTTAAGACTTCTCCACTTCATTAAAAAATTCCGTAGAACATCAACAAGTTTTGTATAAGTGCAAAGAACTTTGTTAAACTTCTTCAAACATTGTTGTAAATTAGTGATCTCTAGAAACTTTTAGTGAAATTCGCAGAAATTCGGAAAATTTCGTTGACGTTCATTTTGTTCTTTAACTACATCAGGGACTTTTTAGATATTCAGAGGACATCAAAAAAACAAAAAAATACAATAAATTTAATGAACTTCGTAGAGCTTCAGAGAATTTTCAAGAAATGTAGGGTGCTTTGTAAAGATTTGGAAAACTATGTAGAACCGGGAACTTTATTCAAATTTGGGAAACATCGTTGAAGTTATGGGAACTTTGGTTTATTTTAAGAAACTTCATAAAAGTTCTTGCTTAAGCTTCAGGGCACTTCTTAAAACATAAAATAACTTCTTTGGCCTTCTTAACTTCTTAAGATTTAAAATAGATCAGTAATTCAAGAAACTTTGATTAACTTCCGGGAAGTATGCAGAAAATCATCGAAAATCTAAAAAAAAACTAGAACTTCGTAGGAGTGCACCAAACTTTATGGGTATTTTGGGAACTTTGTAGAAATCAAGCGAATTATGTAGTAATTCGAGTAACGTCGTAAAATTTCATAGAAGTCTTGGGATTTTTTTTTTAAGTTCAAGGAACTTTTTAGGAGTTCAGCCTAAATTGTAGAAACTCAGTGAAGTAGAAGTTTAGAAAATTTCGCAGAAGCTCAGGGAGTATTGTATTTTTTTATCTAGTTCGTTTATTTGGAAGGCTCAATCGCGTTAGCTTTACGGAGCCGATAGTTCATTGTTCTTTGTTTGTAACAAAATTCTCTTAATTCTATGTCTAGTAGGAGTTGGGCCGAATACTCGAGGTTAGAGTGGTACATTGTCGAAGGATAGAATCAGGGGAGGAGCTTGGGGGTAAGGTTTCTTTGTCTCATCAGAGCGTTGTCGCCAGTATGAACGGTAGTGCGGTTCTAGTTTCGTCTGGGGTTCGACCGGCTATGGTGACCAGTGGGCGACGATGAAACTCATCGAGACGGGGGGACAAGACAAACAAAAACTATTAAAGAGAGACAAAAGACAAAGGAATTCCAACACGTCTCTGATAGGAACATAGGGTTGTCTTCCTTGGGCCTCGAGGGTATTCAAAAGTCGCTCTCTGGCGGCGTCATTATCCGTACATTGCCAAACTGCGTGATCGATGTCAAGGAAGTATTGTAGAAATTCAACATACTTCTTATAAATCCAGGGTTTGATTTGGAAATTCTGGAAATACTGGGTAGTTTCGTCCAGATGTTCAAGAAAATTCGTAGAAAAGGTTCAAAGTTTTCCCTGATGTTTGGAGAAGGGCATGAATGTTCGGAAATCTTGGTCAAATTGACTGAAATTTAAAAAAATAAGGAACGTGGAAAAAATTTGCGAAACTTCGTAGGAGTAAACCAATTTTTAAGAAGTAAGGATTAGGGAACTTTGTAGATGTTCAAGGAAGATTAGAACATTTTTCCGTCCCTCAGAAATTAATTCGTGGTAAATGCCACCTTCGCCACCTGCTGAGTACGGTCATAGAGGTAACTCTAAGACTAGACGGTCCCGAAATAACGTGCTCAACTTTTTGGCTCAGCTCTGGTACTCTCTTCGGCCCCAAGCTAATCGATTCACCCCTCGAAACATAGGAAAAACCAATAACCCCTCATTTTATCTGTCAAACTTTCATAGCGAATCAAAACAAACATTGCGTAGTACTAGAATTTTGACTAGAATGGGCTACGTTAATCGTTTGCTTGGGACCAATAGGCTAGTCAAGTAGTGAGCCATTTTAAAATCGTTAGTTTCGTATTGATTGTTGGTACGGTGCTGTGTGTTCCGTGGGTGTTCTGAAATTTTATTGAAAGGCGCTGAACTTTATCATCGCTGGATAATCTCAGAACTTGTTCTGCATGTTTCCCGAACCTTCTCCGGAAGGTATAGGAGTTTTCTGCGAACTTCCTCTACAGTTTCTGATGATCTTCTCAGAGAGTTTCTCTCTGCCTGATCCTATAGATCTTTTACTACCGAGCACTTCATGTTTCCTCTTGAACTCCATTAAATTTCCATAGGAAGCTCCATATATTTCTAGACCAACAATTGAAATATGCGGAACAACCAAACGTAAACAATGGCTTTAAACGCAAATTTCTCGAGAATCAAATAACATCCACGCAATCTAACACCAGCTTCTGAAAGCGGACCTTTCCTTTATCGAATGGCTTTGTTAATTTGCGTGGGTGTATTTTGAATGTCGAGAAATTTGCGTTTAAGCCATTGTTTACGTTTGGTTGTTCCGCCTATTTCAATAAGGTGATCCAAGAGACGTTTCTCAGTGGAAATGACAGCTAGAAATCTAGAGTGTGTGAGTGATCTGGTGTTAATGGTGCTGAATGTAAACATATAAACAAAGCAGAAATTCATATGAGAATAAACTGCCAGTTCTACTGTGATCTGTCAAAAGTTATTGGTAAACAAAAAAGTTAGTTGATCGCAACTGTCTCGTGAACAGCCTTATTGTTGATCTAGATTTCCTGTCGAAACTATGTGTATCTTTCCATAGAATCTGCAAGACCTTCGAGGTCTGAACGTAGGCAAATAGATCTGTAGATCCAACAGATATTTTTCTCGGAAGACCACTGAGTCCTCAGAAATTCCCTTGCAAGATCCTCGGGCTTTCTCAGCTAGTCCTTCTAAGTTAACTTCTGCCTAACAAGAAGCCACTTGCTTCCCAAATATCTAAACCAAGTCCAAGCACCACTCTGTTCTACTTCTTCTAATACCTAACTGACATTTCCACTTTTTCTTAGAACACAAGAAACTGCATCCAGAGGCACATAGCCGAGTTCGGCGACCAGCTGCGGAAGGAGAACAACGTCGCACTGATAGTGGACGGCAAAACGCTAAAGTATGCACTGAGCTGTGATTTGAGGACTGATTTCCTGGACCTGTGCATTTCGTGCAAGGCGGTCATCTGCTGCCGGGTGTCGCCGATCCAGAAGGCCGACGTGGTAGACCTGGTGACTACCAACACGAAGTCGGTCACGCTGGCCATCGGTGACGGGGCGAACGATGTGGCCATGATCCAAAAGGCCCACGTCGGAGTGGGCATCTCCGGCGTCGAGGGGCTGCAGGCAGCCTGTGCGTCCGACTATTCGATAGCACAGGTACGGTTTTGGGATGGAGGTTGCACCACACTTGACTCTGACGGTTCGATTTTTTTTTCCAAATTACAGTTCAGTTATCTGCGAAAGTTGCTGCTGGTGCACGGAGCGTGGAACTACAGTCGAATGTGCAAGTTGATACTGTACAGCTTCTACAAGAACATCTGTCTGTACGTGATAGAGCTGTGGTTTGCCATGTACTCCGGATGGTGGGTTAAATTATTCGTCGTGAGGTGTAGAATTTGTTCTAAATCAAGCTTATTTTTGCTGATAGGTCCGGCCAAATCTTATTCGAACGATGGACAATCGGTTTGTACAATGTGTTTTTCACGGCATTGCCACCCTTTGCGATGGGTCTCTTCGATAAGGTGACCTCCGCGGAGCAAATGCTGAAGTGAGTATCAACAACTGCTGAGCTACAAAATAATGAGAAGAATTTATTGATCGTAATCAAAATCTACCGTCCTCCAACAGAGAACCAAGGCTCTACGAACCATCCCAAAGTGCCCAACTATTTAACGTTAAAGTATTCTGGTACTGGATCTTCAATGCTCTGTTCCACTCGGTGATCTTATACTGGCTGCCAATGTTTTCCTACCAGGGTGACGTGATCTGGGGGAACGGACGGGACGGTGGTTATCTAGTGTTAGGAAATATAGTTTATACTGTAAGTTGGAGGGGGGAGGGGTCACAAAGTAACTGTTGTCTTTGATCGCTCTAATTGCTAATCGCTCATTTCAGTACGTAGTTGTTACGGTGTGTCTGAAGGCTGGTCTGGTGACGAACTCCTGGACGTGGCTGACGCATTGCTCCATCTGGGGCTCGATGGTGCTGTGGTTTATGTTTATTTTTATTTATAGGTAAGTTGTACTTAGAGAAGAATAATTCTATTTTTCCACTATTGACGTCTATGTTTTTTCCTTCCACGCACAGCAACATCTGGCCAGCGTTACCGGTGGGAGCGGTATTCACCGGTATGGATGATATGATTTTCTCGTCACCCGCGTTTTGGTTGGGTCTGTTCCTGATACCAATTACGGCACTTCTGCCCGATATTGTAGTCAAAGTGTAAGTATTGACCTTGTTTTCAACCGGAATACCAATCTATGATTCACCCTCGCAACTTGTTCAGATTTTCAAGAATGCATTGCTTCAAGATTTCGAAGAAGATCAGTGAAGTCGAAGTGTTCTTCCAGATCAAGCCCATGAACAAATGCACCGGTTGTATGGCCGGGGATGATTGTGTCCTTTCCCGTACTACGGAGCGACGAGGGGCAAGTTGCTTGGATTCATAAATTTCACTGATAAACGCCTTGTAAAAATAGTCTTTGTACAGGAAGTTATCATTTTTTGGATTGAAAATTCAGAATTTCGCCCCCAAGAACATTCATTCGAACTTACTACACCGTTTACAAGTTTTCAAAAGTCTCAACTGATATTCTCACATTCTACAACATTCTTCCCCCTCCCAACAGGATAAAGAACCGAAATCAAAGTTTGGCAACACCGCAGCCCATCAAGGAGTCGCGCTCTTCGTAAGTATTACTTGAACCATTCAATCCAAATCATTGCTAAGTTCTGTTCACTGTGAATCAAAAGCAAAAAGTGTTAAATTCCCCCAAAAGCGCCCCCTTCCTCCAGTATCCTAAAAACAATTCAAACCCTCCAACAGTTATAGAAAAAAAAACACGAACAAAACTAGTAGAGACGCTCCTTCTTCTCCCAAACTCTGAAATAGCTCAAATTCAGGGTACCTTTCAAAACCAAATTCGAAAATTTAGAACCTAAAAATCATTGCTCTTCTCCACATTAGGACTCATATAAACGGTTAATAGAATACATTGCAGACAGTTGATTTCGATGTTCTCTTCTTCTATTATTCAATCTAAGTTTGAGTACATTTTTCGTTCATTTACTTTGCCGGCTATCTGGCATCTTTCTGTCCCTTCTTCTACACAGCCAAATACCTTCTTAGTACTTCTAGAGTTAAGCGAAGCGTCTGATAGATGTCTCCTTAGTGGTTCCTCAGTTAGTTTTCCAAACCCCGGAAATTTCCCCACCTCCTCTAGTTCCCCGAAAAGTTCTAGAAACTGCTCATTCTTGTTCTTCAACTCTTCCCCTCTATTCTTTCTATAACTGTGTTGTTTTAAGTGTCGTTGTTGCTGATGTTGTTTGTTTGTTTATTTACTTTAGTTTTTCTGTTAATGTTGATTGCTAGTTCTGGTTCGGTTTGGTGTTCTCTGTAACCTCTTGCTTTATCGTTGTTTGTTTGAAGATGCTCTTATGATTTCCTGTTAACCGTTTTTCCCGCCATTGGAATTCTGCCTATCTGAAGCAATTGGCTGAGAAAAAAAAAATCCATTTTTAGTTTCTGTGTGTGTAATGTTGTGTGCTTTGGTTTACGTTAATTTAAGAAATTATTTACCCTCTACTCTGGATTTTACAATTTACATTCTGTACGTTTTATATGATTTGGTTTGAGTTCCTGATACATGCTCTCCTCTATCTCTTGGTTTCACAATCGTTGCATTCAATGACATTCCATCGCGACAGGACGCGCCTCGTACAATCGACAGCAGTCGATACATGCTAGACAACTCAAAACACAGTAAAATTTCCATTGAAAACAAGAACTTCTGTACATTTCCCGAGCACCCCTATTCTCGTGTGAATCAGTGATTCCAAGCGTCTCAATTGTCCGTATCATACCGCTAATGTGTCCATTTTCCATTTCACCACCCGTCGAAACTAACACAACTAACATACTGCCAACTCGGTGATGTTGGAACGAAAATAAAAGATCAAGTCCGGAGATATCGGTTACCTACGTAACGATTGCGATATCGACGCACATGAAAGTCGAAAAATACAGGTTTTTATTGCAACTCTTATTAACAGTTTTGTAGTTCGTTTCGAGAAAAAAAAAACTTACCCTCTACTATTCCTATTAGCAACTGTGTTTGATACATCTTCCAATAACTAGTATAAACCCTGTTAAAAACAAACTAATCCAATAAAACGAGTAACCCAACACAAGCACCGCAAGTAACAGTACGAATTTCAAAACATTTGTTTTAACCTGTAAAGTGACTAACTCCTGATTTTTAAATGCATGCATGAATCACGTAACTCGGAATATCCTGTAGTTAGGTTTGCAAATTTTCATCACATTTGGAGAGATTAAGAAGAAAATCAATTGTTTAGGTGAGCCAAAGCAGGAAATGCTTACTAGTTCATTATGGTGAAGGGTGCTATCGAGTAGGTTAACTGTAAGTTGTTGTATGTTCATACTCACTTTTAAGTTGTAATTGCAAAGTAAGTCAAAGTTAATGTTAATGTTATTGTAAATAATATCATCATGTTAAGCACTAAAGCAATTGGTCGACTCTGCACATAATTGGTCATCTGATAGGGGTATTAGTATTAAGTCACCAAATATCCTAGCAAACTGCTAATATATTTAACCGTTGTTCCGATAATCTACATAATATATTAACTTGCTGCTTCAACTGATATTTGAGAATTTGAAAATCTTCTTTAATTGATTATTCAATTTAAAGGGTGTCCACAGTTAAATTGCATAACTTAGAAGTACTCGCCAAAAATTAGTCTCTAAACCGATTTTCACGAAACTTCCATGGAATGTAATACTATATATAAGCTTGCTTTACGTATCTTTATTTCACTCTATTTCTTCACCTAATTCAAATGCCCGAACTTTCTTCTAAACTCCACCCATAAGGTTTTGTACAACGGTTGATCGACATTATTTGCTGCTTTCAACCATGATTTCAACATTTCCTGCTTCGTAGTGACAACTTTAGGATGCTTGCGGAGTTCGTGCTTCATTACCCAGTATCTTTCGATCGGCCGCAACTTCGGTGTATTTGGGGGATTGAGATCTTTCGGCACAAAATAGACCCCATTCGCCAACTCCAGAACGTGCTATGAGTAGTGACAAGAAACTAGATTCGGCCCAAAAATTGGAGGAAGTCGTTTCTTCAGGCACTCATTGACTTGGCCATTTACTGTTATAGTTGCTCCGTTTTCCGCACGAACAAATCACCTGCCAAATCATGAATTTCTTTGGGAACTTCGACACTGTTGTTTCCTAAGGAACTCTGAACTTGTCTTTCGCAGTCACATTTGTTTGAAGTCCGCTTTTACATTTGTTTCAACGTCCGTGATACAGCCGTGTGGTTTTGTCAACATTTGTTTGTACAGCTTACGTGCCCGCGTTCATTGCTCGTTTCTTGCACGAAACTTTTTCTTCCACTCACTTGCTTCCGATCGACCGTTAAACGATCTCCGAAACAGTAGATTGTTGGTGCGAAAGATGTGGGTTGTTGAGGCGAGTGTGCAAAATTTTCCCGCGCACGCGCTGTTCCTTCGACTCCATTTTCTAAACTACTAGAATTTTCACAATGAAACTCGTGCAATGTAAACAATACACGCTGAGGTCATCTCACCCAAAATTTCATTAAAACTAACTCGAAGGGCAAAATATTACAGCTTTTTGGAATTGATGCAATTTAACTGTGGACACCCTTTAATAATGGAGTAGTGAGACTTCTCAAGTCTGTCCTTAAAAAAATGCTTGACTATTCTTGATGGGAGACATTTTATAAGTAAGCACCATTAACTACTTCCATGATCTTCCTATACCATTGCATGATTTTGTATAAACGCGGAATTTTCATCTAGGGAACTATTTTCGAAAGGACCGGGAATCGAATAAGTCGCTCCCAGCATGGTCTGCTTTTTTGACTCGGTCGCTATGTGCTAGCGACTATCGGGACCTCAAAGGCATACCCTTACTGATCCCTGAAGTCGTTCCTAACACTGTTCTACTTTCTAAAGGGTGTTACGATCGAAATTTGGTCAAACAAGAATGCGTGTAAATTGATCATTTTTTTTTAATTAAAAAATCAAAATATTTTTCAAGCAAAGTTTCCGGTTGACCGAATCCGCAACCTCGTGTACTTTGTTCGCCGCAGAACGCCAGTTTGCCTTAAACTGCTTCTCGCTTCCAACAGGTTTTTGGGTCTTCTTCAGGTTCCACTTGCCGATGGCCCAACATTTTTCGATCGGGCAGAGCTCTGGCTTCTTGGGAAGTTCCTTGTTCCTTCACCTACCTTGGCTACATGTGTAGAAACTGGTGTTATTACGTTTCATTTCTTACTGACGACTGCAGCACTTAGCAGAGCCATCAGCTATAAAAGACATACGGAGAAACCTGAAACATTTTCATCCTTGAAAAAGCTAAAAACCTTATTCAAGAGTACGCCAACATCGATTTCCTCCCTCTGGTAGCAGAAGTCCATCGGGTTAGAGATTAGAAATGGAATCACATAGGTCCCAAAATCGATTGGTCAATCAAGCAAGCAGTTTGTGCTGGTGACTACTCAGGAAGGACCGCCGCTGTAGGCGATCATCTACTGAGAACAAAATTTGCATAAGCCTACTATGGAAAACATATAAGCATTTCCAGGTGAAGGTACGACTCTTTCCGATCTGAACGAAAATTTTTAAGATGTTTTCTGCATTGTAGATTATGATTTTTCCACAGATCACGAGACCATTTTCATTCAAGACTAATTTTTGAAAAGGGTGTATGTGTTTTCATATAGGCATTTAAAAAAAAAATACTAACTCTATAACTTTTTTCACTTTAACACTCTTGGGTCATTGGTGACTTGTCCGGGAGTGAGATTTGAACTCGTGACTTTGGCGTGAGGGGTATGGATGCTTACCACTACGCCGGGGTCGCCCTGTTTATTGTATTTAAGTTGTGCTTGAAACGGGACCTGTAGGGAGTTGTATTCATATCTTCGACATTGTACCGCTGTAGATGGTGAATCACGAGAAACTTTTGAAAGTCACAACGTCACTACTGCAGGTGCTCAGTTGAGTATTTCATCGTCCATCCTTTGATGCCTCCTCATGTTGCTCCCGCTTTGTTGCCGCCTAAAGCACCAGCTACGAAACAATTTTACGTTAAACCATTCGACCCTTCTACGACTGATGTCAACGTAGCAAACTACATATATCAACCGGGTGGTGCCGAGAAGTCTTCTCCTGCCATCGCTTAGTTTCTAACTCAACCTCGAGCAACCGTCGAAGAAACTTTGTGTTGTTCAAAGTATCGACGATCGACAATCCAAGCTTCACAAGTACCATCACTAGTAAATCTTGCTGGCCCGATTTCGTCAATGTTGTACCATTCTAACCAGGACGCCGCGAGTAGCAATCAACCGCTACTGAGCAATCCCTCTCAACCCAATCAGACGTGCATCCAAAAGATTGTGACGTCGTCGGAACCGGATCAACAGTTGAAAGTAATACCACACCATGCTTCTCTACGACCTCGATAACTGTTTCTCCCTCTATACAACCATCATCTTTGACTGTCTACTACCAGAATGTTAGAGGTATGATAACCAAGACGAACGATTTTATGCTCACTGTTACTTCTTGTGACTACAATGTTGTGGTATTGACCGAAACATGGCTCCACGCCAATACATTGCTGATT